ACGATACGCTGACGAAGCTTTGTAATACAATTCGAAAGCTCCGACCCGAACGATTTCTTGTGGAGTAAAGTCCTCATTCAATTATTACATTAGCAAACTCCACATCATGTCCTTTAGTGGACAAACAAACCATGTTGTGCAAAATTACTGCTGTGCTACCTGCTGGTACATTATTGTTCAAGAATATGACAAATGGAAACAGGCCAAAGAGTAATTGACCTGTTTAGCAGTTTTTCATGTCAGAAGTGCAGACTGCAGATTCTATTTTTACCCCTTTTTTAGATTTTGCCTGGTGCAGCCGGTGCAGGCTGATGGGACTTCTAGTCTGGTTGGTGTGGGCTGGCTCAGATTTTTCAGTGTGACAACTAGGCAGCAGACATGTGCATGGATCCGAGTGATGGATTTATGATCTCAGTGGATCCCGAAGCAAAGTACAGGTTGGGATCTATGATCCCACCAGATCCGGCGTGAAAAATACATCTTGGATCTATGATCTCATATGATCTGACGATAAATTAAGAACATGGATCTATGATCTGAGTGGATCCCACCATGCACCACATTTGAAACCATGTTTTATAGGGTTTCTATGCCAATAAATGCCACAAAACTATGGATTATGACGCGCGATCACATAAAATCACTAAAACAGTATGTTTGTGAGTTGAAACAAGCGTTTTTTGGGGATATATGTGTTCACAAAAAATAAGCGAGGATCTATGATCTCACTGGATCTCAAGCAAAAAATGAGACTCTGATCTGTGATCCCTACGGATCTCTCGATAAATTACAAAGCTGGATCTATGATCCCGTCGGATCCGAGATCAGGATCCGTGGGATCAGATCCCAGATCCATTTTCTCGGATCCATGCACATGTCTGCTAGGCAGTGTTACCACTTGTAGCACTCTTGTCTAAGGATATGTCAGCTCAATTGCCCAGTGGGCCTTTAGTTTATGGATATATGATTGTAGCAGTATCTGCTCGAGTTATTTTCATGTGCACTCTCATTCAATGAGATCATGCATATGGTCACTGATGCACTGATATATATCATGCATCACACTATGCACATTTTGCATTATTGTGCTCCATAATATGCACATTGTGCATAAGCACATTGTACATTTTATGATGACATCCTATAAGCCACTTGTAACTAGATTTGAATGCTTTTTATATTAAGTTTTTTTTCATTACAGTAAAGATAGAATGCTTGGTTATTGTATTTTCCCTCATTAGCCCTATTGATAAACAATAATTTGCAAAGAAAATGTGAATTTTTAACTTCTGTTTTTCAAATTGTAAAACAGCAGCTATTTTCACTGTAGCCTGGTGATAAAACTAACCTATTTTTTGTGTCTTTTTCAGACAGACTTGATTAGTGGGTGTGATCCGGATCGAGTGGTGCAGTTCTGAACAGACGAGTCGCCTCTACGTGGATCACCAGGCTCCGTCCGTGTGTCGACAGCGCCCTCCGCCTCTGCCGCCATGTCTGACGGCAGCGAGGACGGCGAGATCTCTGAGACGCGCGAGTTCCTTGTCGACGACGACTCGCTCGACATTAAGCCCCCGCAGAACCAGGCCGGCAGCAAGCACAAGTCACGCTCCAAGCACTCCTCGGACCACAAGCGCCGCGACAAGCACAAGCACAGGCGCCATGAGAGTCGCGAGAGGCGCCGCCAGCGGCGTGAGCACCGCGATCGGGAGCGACGCGAACAGCGAGACGCTCGCCGAGAGGCGGCTGAGTCACACCGGCCGCCGGTGGACCCGTACCGCGCCCACCCGGATGACTTCCGACTACCGTCGGCGGCACACCGGCCACCTGCCGACCCGTACGACGCGCACGAGCCGCCGCGACCGTCCCGCTCTCGCGACAGACGCGACCGGGACGGCCGCCGCGAGCGGCGAGCCGAGCGCGAGGCGCTGCAGGCCGAGCTGCGAGAGCCTCGTGATAGTCGCGGATCTCATCGCGACCCGAGCCACGACCTGACGTCTCGCGAAAGAGACCGCGATCGGCACCGTGCCGACCGCCAGGAGCGAGGGGAGAGACAGGAGCGAGTCGAGAGGCTGCATGAGCGACCGGAGAGACAGGAGCGAGTGGATCGGCCAGAGAGGCAGGAGCGGCCCGAGCGGCGCGACCCGCCGACGGAGGTCGACCTGCGCAGCGAGCGGCTGCTGCAGGCAGTGCGCGTCTCCGAGAAACAGAAGGAGATGTCGAAACGCGAGCTGGAAGCCCGCCGGCAGCGGAGGGAGCTAGAACGTATCCGTCAGCGCGAGGAGCGTGACATCGAGGCGAAGCGTGAGCGGGAGAGGGAGCATGGAGACGACCGGGAGGAGAGCAGGAGGAAGCGACAGCGCGCCGCTGAGACCAGGGAGGAATCCAAGGACCGGGAGGCGGAGCGTCCTCCGCGGGAAGGGCGCGAATCCCGATCACAGAAAGAGCGACCGCGGGAGGAGTCTGAGCAGGAGTCATCCGAGGAAGAAGTTGAGGAAGAGGAGGAGGACGCCGAGGAGAGCGAGGACTCGTCCTCCTCGTCGGAGGAGTCAGACGATGAGGAGGGTGAGCGCGAGGAGGGTGAGGAGGAGGAAGGAGCGGCGTCCCGCTCGCCGACTCCGACCGGCCGCTGGCGCCAGATGAGCCGCTCTTCACCGGAGGCGGCCTCTCCGCGCCGCGCCGGCTCCCCGGAGGCCAGCCCGGGCCGCTCGCCGCCGCCGGAGCCGCTGACACCCTCTCCACCCGTGTCGCCGGTGGTGACTAAGGAGGTGCTGCCGCCCTACCTGCCGGCCATCCAGGGCTGCAGGAACGTCGAGGAGTTCAACTGCCTGAACCGCATCGAGGAGGGCACCTACGGCGTGGTGTACCGCGCCATCGACAAGCGCACCAAGGAGATTGTGGCGCTGAAGCGACTCAAGATGGAGAATGAGAAGGAGGGTTTCCCAATCACGTCTCTACGAGAGATCAACACGCTGCTGAAGGCGCAACACGAGAACATCGTTACCGTACGCGAGATTGTGGTCGGCAGCAACATGGACAAGATCTACATCGTCATGGACTATGTAGAACACGACCTCAAGAGCCTGATGCAGACGATGAAGTCAAAGAAGCAGTCGTTTACCACGGGCGAAGTCAAGTGCCTGTTGATCCAGATGCTGCGTGCCGTCCGTCACCTACACGACAACTGGATCCTGCACCGTGACCTGAAGACGTCCAACCTTCTCCTCTCTCACAAGGGTATCCTGAAGGTGGGCGACTTTGGACTGGCGCGCGAGTACGGCTCGCCGCTGAAGCAGTACACGCCGATCGTGGTGACGCTGTGGTACCGGGCGCCGGAGCTGCTGCTCGGCTGCAAGGAGTATTCGTGTCCTATCGATATGTGGTCGGTGGGCTGCATCTTCGCCGAGCTGGTCCGCATGGAGCCCATGTTCCCCGGCAAGTCGGAAGCCGATCAGATAAACAGGATATTCAAGGAGCTGGGCACGCCTAACGAGAAGATCTGGCCCGGCTACTCGGAGCTGCCGGCCATCAAGAAGATGACGTTTTCCGAGTACCCGTACAACCAGTTGGCCAACCATCTGGCGGGCGCGTGCACAGAGAAAGGCGTCTCACTGATGAACAAGCTGCTGACCTACGACCCCAAGCGGCGCCTGACTGCCGACGAGGCACTGGCACACAGCTACTTTGACGAGCAGCCGCGTCCGATCGAGCCGGGCATGTTCCCCACGTGGCCGGCAAAGTCCGAGATGGGTCACAAGAAGACCACCTCGTCCAGTCCCAAGCCTCCGTCCGGCAGGAAAAACCTCGGTGATGACGACATGGGTTTCCAAATAGGCGCGGCGGCCGGCGCCGGCGGATTTAGTCTAAAGTTCTGAGTGTCCATGAGCGTGTCGTGATGTCGGACAATCAGACTGTTGATATTCCGACCGGATCGTGCAGTGGGCGTGCTTAGAAGCGCTGGAATGTGTGTTGTAATGACGGAATGTGTGTCTTAGCGCCGGAATGGTGTGTCGATGCGGGAATGTGTGTGGTGAGACTGATGCCGGTTGAGTGAGTGAATCGGGTGTGCTGGAGAGTTTTGTGCCACGATAGAAACATCGAACCACGTGTGGTTGGTGCTGCGTTTGGGTGAATAGGTGCACGATGTGTTTGCGCCTATGTTGGCTCAGAGTTAGAACTGATTACAAATGCTGCGTACCTGATGCATACATCGTGTCTCATGCGTCAGCGGTCGCCATGAACGTCCAAAAAGCTGTTTTGGATATCCTAAATGACGTCGTTTTAGAGACGTCGTGTATTGTTTTACCGATGATGTTTGGCAGCATTGTGCAGGTTCTGTACAGTGTTGAGTGCGGTGGGGATGGGGATGCGCTGTGCTTCCGTGCCCAGTTCTGTGTCCAGGCGTGAATTGTCATTTGTGCTTTCACGAATCTGAGTGGGGAACATTACACAGCTGTGACTGTGTAGAAGCTCTGCTCGGTTGCGATCTCTGAGCAGTTGGTTGTCATCACCCATCGGACGTGACGTCAATAAAGACCTTCACGTCATTTCTTTACCGTGTTTTTTGATAAGCATTGCTTACAATTCTTCAGGCGTTTTCCGAGGAGCCGCGGCCCGCGATGATTTTTTTAAACAATGGAATTGGGATGGTCTTTAATTCATATCAGCTCAGTCGTTCATTCATTCATTCATTCATTCATTCACCAATTCATTTATTTATTTATTTTATGGGCATAACAGCAGCCTCTTGAACGGGCACGGGGCAATAGTGTGCAGGATTTTTCTCAGACAAGTTCGAGATTCTTTCAGGTCATCGTGAGGTCAATGCGCACGCCGCGCCCCCACATATTCAAGAAGTAGTTCCACCATCGCTTTCTAGATGGCGCGCTAATCGTCACCGCCCGTTCTCTGGGGGCCGTGACGTCAGCACAGTGAGCTATCGATTTGCCCGGTAGATGTCTCTAGCGTCGCGGCGCCGGCCGACGCCATCAGCTGACGGCGGCGTCAGTCGGCGAGCGGAAGCGAGGTGGGGTGTGTGCTGCGGCCGCGGGTTTCGCCACTGTGTGCTCCCTGTGCTCCACTGTGCTCTGGTGACCGTCGTGTGCGCGGTGTGACGCCGAACGGTGGTGTTCCGTGATCGGATATGTTCAGCTGACCACTTACGTTGGGACTAGAAGAAAATTATCAGCATGGAGTCGGTGTTCGGTGGGCACGGTAAGTTGAGACCGTAAAACATGGCTTTATTTTGTGTTCTATACTAACTTAACAGTGCACCGCTTACACTGCATGCCATTGTAATTGACGCAGTGAGTTTCGTATGTTGTGAAGCGCCCCGGTTTCAGAATACGGGTTGAGCAAGAAGTGCAGACTGCGGTCTGTGGGGAGACCGGAAATGCCTTAGACGAGTCATGCCCCATCGACAAAAAAAAATCAGCCATCTTTCGTACGTGCAGGTGTTCTATTGTATCAGCTTATCCTATACCGTCCTATTCCTATGCCATTGCATCTCGATCACCGATCACTCCAATGGCCCGGCGTTTGACACGACTTCGACCTTCACGCTTCTCCAGCCCGTATGCGTCCCTCTGCTCATCTGAGCTCCCTCCCCCCTCCCCCCCACGTCACTCCCGGCATGTTTTGGCCGTCGTCACCCCTCTCCGGACCCGGCGGCCCTTTGTGCTCTGGCGCGTGTGTGCGCTCTGCGAATGAATCAGTGCGGGCGCTAATGCAGCTCCCCGTACGTGACGGGGGTGCTGAGTGCCCTCAGCGCTCCTCGACAGTCCTATACGGTGGCCGCCCCGCCCCGTGCGCCGTCCCACCTGTCAACAACCCGCCCAGTCACCTTCGCACTCGCCACTCCTCTCTCCGCTTCTGGCTCTCTCCCGCCCTCGCCCTGCACCTCCAATCCCCATCTCTGACGCTCCGTGCTGGACTGCACGCCTTTAGGTACCTTGCTATGTCATGCCCTTGCCGTGTTTAGTTATGCCTTGCCGCTCCGTGCCGTGCCTTGCTGTGCCGTACCGTTTCGTACCCTGCCGTGCCGTACGGGTTTCGACTCTGTAGTTGGTACCCTGACGTGGCACTGAGGCAGTGAAGTGTTTTTGTTCGCGCCTGGCGTAAATACCAGCGGCGCTTTACGTACGTACGTCAGAGGGTGGGGTTAGCTGCGGCGAGCCGGACCAGCGGTCTTTGTTGAGCCGCATTGTGATGTCCGTAACCGCCGTGCTGGTGCCGGCAGACCGTGTTTTACCTGGAGGTCACGTGACTGACCGTTTGGAGGATTTCGTTGTGTCACGTGACTGGTGGATGGTTCGGTGGGGATGGGTATGAGGGGGGCATCTGTCGAGGGATGTTTTCCAGTCAATGTTTCCAGCAAGGCCGCTGTCAGCGTTGTTATGGCCCACCATCTACCAACGCCGTCTCCGCTATATGACAATGGGCCATCATAGCGCCGGGAAGCATCTCTTTACTGGCCGAAACGGCCCATTGGCTCTGCCACCCCATCACGGCTCCATGCTGGGAAATGAGACGGCGTGACCTTATCGGCCTACACTGTCACCAACTGTCCGTATTGCCAGACACAGGGACAGCTCGGACAGGACAGTTCAGGCTGCCGGTCGAATAGCTGTCTGAGACAAGGTGTTTTGACCTTCCGCGTGGATGCCCCCCGCCGTGCCCCGGGAGACTCCGATGTCTGTTCCCGGACGGAGGACGCGGATCTGTCCGTAGCGTGGATTATGGAAGCACGTTGGGCTGGTGGATATTCGGCGGGCCGGAAATGTCAAAGCTGGAGCGGTGTCGTCAGTTACCCACTACTGGTTTGACGGGTATGTTCGGACAGCGGATCGGGGTAGATCCGAGGGGAATGGCCGCGCGATGGAGAGACGCTGTGGGCGGACAGCGTGGGTACGAAGCCATCTCCGCCCGTGGCTTGTGAATAATATTTGTGGAAAATACTCGATCGACATTTAGTTGGACCCGTTGCTAGTGAAGGTTGAAAGGGGAATAGCCAAAGTGTCTCCTCAACGTAGTGGCTAGCGCTGACACATTGAGGTCGTTTCCTGGCTAGTGTGACCGGTAATCCAGTAGACTTATCGACGAGCCTTACTAAGAAGACTGACCTCCAGCGATCTGTTACAAGTGTCAGCCTAGCCAGCACTCCTTAGCAGTCCTGTCTGCCGGTCACCGCCGTCAGCAAAAAGCGACCTTCAGCTGCCCACCTACCGCTCCTCTCACTCTTACTTCCTGCCCTCTCCCCTCTCCCCCTTGACCGACAGCTGGTTGCCTGGCCTCGGAACGCACATGCGTCTCTAGCGGTAAGCTGACCCGAGCGGCTTTCTGTAATGAGCCTGCTAAACATGCCCCGAGGGTATCGTTCGATTCTCGGGACGGTATGGCTATTGACGAGGACGGTTGGGATCGTTAGGCCCGGAGATGTTCATTAGTTACAATTTACCGCGGCGCTCCCGTCGTGCTGCTGTTAGCCTCAGTCATTAGCGGCTCGTTGCCTCGGCTTGGAAACATCCCCTGAGGGCATTGGCGGGAATCGCCCCCGTTTCCCTTTCCTTCTCTCCACCGTGCTCTCTCTTTCTGATTTTTAATTTCTGGCGTCGTCTTTCCCAGCGCTAACTCTACAGGTGCTTCGTACTACGTAGCGTAACTAATTTTCTCTCCATTTTCCCTTCAACATCTCACGACTGTCCCGTTTCACCCTTGCCTCTCTATATCTCTCAATGTCTCCAGCTCCGCCCTTTGCCCTCTACTGCGCCAGCGCCGGTGTCTGGTGTGCCGACGTGCGCTGGATTTATCTGTTCGGTAATGGTCAGTTACTGGCCCGGCGGCGGCCGTCCCACTCTCCTTGGGCCGTACCGGGCCGGCGAGACTACCACACCTGCCGGAGGCCGCGGCGAGCGTACGGACTACGGAGCTCGAGACGGCGAGGGGAGGGGAGGGAGTAGGGACGCTTCCTGCCGGGAGCGTGCTACCCGAGGAATGGGGAGGGTGGTGTGGGGGAGGGGTTTTGGGCAATGGCCTGTGCAACGAGTGCCTCGGAATGTGAGATTGTGTGTGGCACTGCGAGCGGAGTGGCAAGGGACTGAGTTTCTTGCAATGCTTTCGCATTTTGTTTTATTTGGGGTTCATGTGGGTACATGTTTACATGCTATAGTGTATAGAGGACCTTTGTTTCTCCTTTTTCTTTTAACTTAGCATTGTTAATTACCCATTCAGTATTCATGTTCTTTGTGCGCTGACGAGCATTTATGCCTTCGCTTAATTGTCACCTTGAAGATTTGACATTTTTATCATGATAACCTTGATCCAGTTTTATTTATGCAACGACTTCTGAAAGCCTCTTCCATTCCCGGCATCTGTCTTAGCTGTAAATCTTCACACGGAAAGTTTTCCCATCTCATTTGGTCTTCGCTGCGTTAAGCTGGCAGCTGTGGCGGCTGGGGATGTTTGTTGTTCCGGCGCTGCGAGGGTAAAAACTAAAAACCGGCCGCCGGAAACGGGCCTCTACCGGCGGCAGCTGATTCTGAACGATCCTCCGCTCCTGTCAAGCAAAGGGACTCACGTGTTTCTAGCTTTTCTATATTTTGGAGGTAACACTGAATGCGTGGTGATATAACCTTTATAATGATCGGCTCTCATTTTGTTTCTTTTCGTTCGATTAGTCAGCGGCCAACGCCCACCACCATGCGTTGGGACCCTCCCACCTTCAAAAAAGTTAATGAATTGGCATAAAAGTGATGTAGCGTGAATCACAAAGAGCGAAAATGAACATCTACCAAATTTTACCGGAAAATATTCACCCGTTTTCGAGATATAAGACTTTTATTTTTGTTTACTTTTTGGGAAATCCGCTGTTTCTATGACGTCACATAAAGGTTTTCTTTACGTCGGCATTTGGAAGCAATAGTTTGGTATCAAAGTGCGACAAATATTGCGCGAATGATGCGTTTATCTTATCAAGGTCAATATATGATGGCCAATAAAGGATTCCAGGACAATTCTTATGGCATTTCTTCGTATCGCAATTCTTCGTCTGCAAATCTTCGTCAGGGCATTTATTCGTACCTATCGCATTACTTTGTCTCGCACCAGGGTATATGAAAATCGGCTCGCATTTCTTCTTCAACGCAAATATATGCAAGAGTAAGCATTGAGGGACAAATAAATGCACCGACGAAGATTTGTAGACGAAGAAATGCGGACGAAAAATTGTGCTACGAAGAAATGTCATGCGAGGATTCGTTCGGGTACCATGACATTTATGTGATTTCAAAGTCAAGGTTCACTGTCACAGCTGATCTGCTAAATCAAGCCAAGAATCCAAACTATCAAAAAACTATAAATATTTGTTTGTCTGTCACAGAGGTCTCAAGGAATATAAGGTTGACATATGTTGAATCAAAAATCTACTGCCACAACTCACATCTCCTGCCTTAGTTTATCATTGTTGTTTTAACTTGCTTTCAAGAGAAACAGAAGCCAGTATCTGATATCACTTCAGATGATTGTTTCAAGATCTGAGTTCAAATGGAAATAAAAGCAAGATCAAGATGAAACAGGGATTATTGCTGTTAAAGTAGTTTGGCCATGATACAACAAGCACATAAATCATTAGCCAAATCAAATACTGGTTGGTTTGTCAAGATGTTTGTTGTCTGTCGTCTGTCGAGCTGCTATGAACACTGAACGCTCTCACTCTTACTTTAAAGAGAGTAGTTTAAGTTGAATGGTAGTGAGCTGTAATTAGACAAAGCAGCTATTCAGTGCTCACATCAAGCCAGGCTAGGAAATGGCATCAACTGTGGTGGGAGGAAGCAGGTTCGGCAGCCCTATGTTGTAAACTTCTGTTATGTCTTGTGTTTGATTAACTGATGTTTTCTGCTCTGTTTTGTGCAGTGATAGTAGCAGGTAACTGCATGCTTGTCAAATTATGTGAATAAACGAATTCATAACATTGCATTTTTCTCTCCATGCAAGGAACAAGTAAGATGTTGTAGAAAATGTAATAGAGGGCTGCATTGCTGATTTTGCACTTTATCAGAGCTTTATTTAGAATTGCTTTCCTGAAAGCTACACACAGGCCACAGTGCTGAAATTCACAATGTCATAGCTTTTGGCAGAAAAAAGAAAAGACTTACCTAAGTAAAATTGGCTGAAAGTATGGCAGAGCAGGTCTTGATGCGTATGCCCATCCGTGTGCT